AAGGTCCTGAGTTTGATCCCTGGTACCAAAAAAAAAAAAAAGGGCTAGAGTGTAGCTCAATGATAGAGCTTTGCTAGTATGTAAGAGGCCCTGGGCTCCATCCCCAGCTCTGCAAGTGTATGTGTGAGAGAGAAACTGTTCATGCTTGAGAACTGCATTGCTGCAGGGCTTCTGTGAGCGTTTAGGCGACACAGGGCTCCACATGTAAGGGGCCACCGTTCACACTACAGATCTCATGAGTCTGGGTATTTTTTTTGGTACAGGGGATCAAACTCGGGACCTTGCGCCTTTGAGGCAGGTGGCGGCACCACTGAGCTACATCCCAGTCCTGAGTCTGGGTATTTATAATGGTAGTTTTCTGGCCAGTATTCAAATGCCTCATTCTAACAAAAATTACATTAAAATGGTTAAATTGGGCAGCTGAGACAGGATTGTGAGTTTGAACCCAGCTGGGAAAATAGGGACTTAAACTTTTTTTCTTTTTTTTTCAAAGGCTGGGTATGTAGTTCAGTACAAAGCCCCTGGGTTCAGTCCCAGTATGGAGCACTGGTGCTGTATGAAAAATCCACACAGCTAACTGGAGACAGAAACCGGCCTGTAGGAGGTGCCTTGAGTGAACCATGAGAGGACACCGAGACTTCACTGTCTGGACCTGTGGTACTTCACCTGTTTTGCAAAGCTGAGGTCTAACCCACCTGAGGCAGGCCATGACCACTGAACTCCACCCCCAGCGCCACCTGTGGCTCTCAACCCCTGAACTGGAAGAAACTGGCTTGTGGTTCGTCCCTCTGCATCTGCGTCAGCCCTGGTGGTGTGGTTGATGGGAGCACTGAGAGATGGATCCATTCTGGGGCCTGAGAAGCTACTTTTGAGGACAAGACCCTGATCCAGTAGGACTCCCTCTTAGGACAGCAAGGTTCTCTTGGAGGGCTGGGGTACAGCTCAGCAGTGAGCACCCCAGAAACAAATACCAGAGAAGGCAGAGATGTTTGCTCAGCACGCAGGCTGATGTGAGGCCCAGACCAACCAGGCCTGCAATGCACCAGTCACCCAAACAAACTTCCCAGGTAGGTGTGGCAAGGAAATCTTGTTCTAACAGGGTTTCTGATGAACTGAAACTTGGTTAATTTGTTAGATCTGCCTGAGCGCATAGTGGGTGCAAAAGTGGGGCACATTGGGCTGGGGATTTAGCTCAGTGGTTTCACTGCCTGCTGCGCAAGCGCAAGGACCGAGTTTGATCCCCGGTAACAAAAAAAGAACAGAAAAGTGGGGCACATTGCCCAGATTCAGAAAAAAATGTCTACTCCAGGAAACAGGACCTGCTCCCACCTTTCCAGAGCGGGCTTGGTGGGGGCTGGGGAGTGCCACTAGCTGGCCCTCGGGACACAGTGGGATCCCTACAGCAGCCACAGGTCAAAGAGCAAGTCTTCCCAGCGCTGCCGCCCTCAAGTTGTGGAGCTGCAATTGGGTCCCTGGTCTGACACCCTGGTACCCAACAGGGCTTTGGGAATCAATGACGCTCTGGGGACGGACGTGGGTTAGTGACAGAACAGGGAACTCAGACTGGCCCAAGAGCCACAAACTGACTCCTGGCCCTGGATCCCAACTCCTCCCATGCACAGCTCACTGCGGCGGGGCACTCAGAGCTAGAGGCAGAGGCTGGGGGTGGACTAAGGCTCAGCCCTGAGCAGAGGTAAGGCTACCACAGCTCTGTTCCCCACAGCCCCGTCTGGGGGCCACTCCTGGGGGTGGGGGGCTGGGGCTCAGACTCTGCAGCACCACAACCCTGGCCTAAGGCAGGAGAGAAGGTACCATGGGGCACTCACCTGGTGCAGCGTGACTTCCCTGCTCTTCCCTTCCACCCTCCTCACCGACCACACAAAGCCACTTCCGGTCTGCCTTTCTGATGGGGTGGGGCCAGGCCTGGTGCACGCTCTGCTCGCCCTGGCCCAGCTGTCCCTGTTTGCCTTTGAGGGCTTGCTGGTGGTGGGCCAAGGGCGAGGAACTGAACTAGGTGTGAGTGCTGCTGTCAGGGCCAGGTGCGGAGGGGAGGGCCCTGGGGGCTGGGGAAGTGGAAAGACTTGGAATCCAAGTCCCAGCTATGCCATGTATGAACAGGACCTGTCACAGACCCCACCTCCCACCTGTGTAGTCAGGATTCAAGTTAACACCACCAACAAGGCCCTGCCCCTGCCCAGGACAGCCTGGGAGCACCGGTGCACCGCCCTGCCGCCTGCAGAACATGGGGTAACCAGGGGTTGGTGAGGGACAGGGTGTCCTCCCCTTGAGACTTGGGCAGAGTGACCAAGTGTGGTCGTCAGGGAACAAGGTCCAAGAGCAGGCAGGGCAGACAGAGGTGAGGAGGACAGAAAACAATGACCTAAAGGAGGTGTGGGGACAGGAGGGGTTGATAAAGGGCAGTGGTGACTGGGACAGTGCTCAGGACAAAATGCCTAGGACACAGTGTGAGGAGCAAGCAGGGGCAGGGGGTGAGGGCAGCTGCCACCCTGCCCAGGGTCACTGCACCTGTCTGGGCCTTGCCGCAAGCAGCCCCGGGCATTCCCCACACTGCCACTCAAGAGGGGACCGTGAGGTGCAGGAGAGAGCCATGGGTACTGCAGGACCCCTGGGGCAAGGACGCAGGAGTCACAACCAAAAGCCCAATGGGTCTTTACTCCGGGAGCCCGAAGGAGGGGTGGGCACAGGGCTGGGGGTGCAGTCTCACTTCTCGGGGTGGGGTGGGGGTAGAAGCTAGGTGCTCTCCTCAGGCTCTGCAGGGCTTGCACCTGGTGCCAGCACCTGCCCCTGTCCCTCCTGAGTCACACTGGGTCTACAAGTCCCGACCCCGTGGCCACCCAAACTCTGGGCCAGGAGAGGAACCATGGCTGCTGGGTGCCCGTCCTGGTCCTGAGCTGCACCATCCCGGGTTGGAGCATCATGGCAGACTCTTCAGCCTCTAAGCCGCTCAGAGCTCGTCAGGAGGGCTGTGCGGGAGCGGTGAGGCCTTCTGGATGTCCCCGTCCTCCTCGTCCTCGGCACTGTGGCCCCCCTGGAGCCCCCCAAGCTTCTTCCTCTGCCTGTTGCTGCCGCTGGTTGCCTTGGCCCGGCTGCCCTTCTTCTTGGCCTTCTTCCCTCCCAGTGCGGCTGTGTCGCCCTTCTTGCCAGACCACCGCTCTGCCAGGCAGCCTGCGGGGGGCGGGAGAGGCTGGGAGTGCAGGGAGGTGGCTGTGGCCCTGGCACCGAGTCGGGCCCTCTTGTGTCCCTGGGGCACCCTCTGTCCCTGCCCATGGCCCCCTTGAGGACTCACTGGTGTCCTTGCCCTTCAGCACATGGTTGGTGCACAGGAACTCGGTGAGGTCCTCCTCCTGGTGGTTCCGGTACCAGTCCTCGATCACCTCCTCGAACTCCTCCACCAGCACGTCACACTGTGGGCCACGACACACTGGGTCCGCACAGCCCCAGCACCTGGCTCACTCCCCAGGGCTCCCCAAGCCTTGTGACCCCATGACAGGCAGGCAGCTGGGATTCATCTGGTGCCACCAAGGTGAGGCGCCTGGCCAGGGTCACCAGCTCCTGCCCCCTCCCATACCTGCTTCTTGAGGTCGGCCACCTCGGCAGAGGTCTCGTTCCACAGCTCATAGGGGATGTCCATCACTACCTTGACGCCCTTGTGCACCAGGCCGTGCAGCGTCTCGAAGGTCTCCGACATACCCTGGGGGCATGGAGCTGTGTTACCTGCCTTGCCCTGGGGTCAGAGGAACTGGCTTCTGGTCCTTGCACAGGCCTTCCTGCCCCTTTCAAGCAGCTGTCCACCAGCCCTGAACCTCCGTCCCCCAGCCTTTCAAAAGATCAGCTGTTGCCCTCAGGCTCTGAACGGAACTGCATCACCAGACCTTTTCATCTTTTTCGGTTGCCCAGTCTCAAATTTGTAATCCTCCTGCCTCAGCCTCCCAGAATGCAGGGATTACAGGATATACCACCACACCATCTGCCCTCAGGCCTTTTAACTCAGATTCCTTTTCCAGGAAAGAAGTTTATCTCAGCTATTCCTTCACCTTGCTGGGAACACCCTGCTCTGGGTCCTTCCTGGCAGGAAGAGGGCACAGCCAAGCGGACGAAGGACCCTTTATTCAGTAAAAGTCATCTCTGCTGCTGGGCAGAGCCAACACACTACCCGTCCCCTCCCTTTTCGCAAAGACACACACACATGCACACACACGCGCGCGCTTGGGCCGGGCCACAGCTCAGGAGCCCAGCACCTGCCTAACACGAGTGAGGCCCTGGGTTCCATCCTCAGCACTGCAAACAGCAAAATACACAAACATAAAAGTTATCTTCCCTCCCCACCCCTGCTCTGTACGCAGCAGTGGCGCACACACACGGCTTGGCACTTTGCCTGTTAGCTCAGGAGCACACACAGGAGAGGGGCTGAGCTCACAGGCAGCTCCAGCTCTGAACGCTCAGGGTACCAACCTTGCCCCTACTGGTGGGAAGTTTGCTTCTGTTTGCTACAGAACATAACTTTATCTTTTATTGATTTTTTTTTCAAGACTGCCTCGCTATGGGAACATGAGTAGATGCAGGGGCTGTCTTGCCTGATTTGTGCTGAACCTCAGGCAGGCTGTTGTGAAGGACTGTCACCAACACCTGCCAACTGTCCTCACACTTATTTTTAAAACCTTCACCAACATAAGCAAGGTAAAATGTCTGTCATACCCATTCTCATTTTATTTATTTATTTATTTGGTACTGGGGATCAAACTTGGGACCTTGCGCCTGCAAGGCAGGCGGCAGAACCACTGAGCTAAATCCCTGGCCCCCCATTCTCATTTTATAAAGGAAAAAAAAGACAGGGTCTCGCTATGCAGTTCAGCCTGGCCTCAAATTAATGGCAATTCTCCTGCCTCACCCTCCCAAGTGCTGGGATTACAGGTGTGGGCCACCACACCCAGCAGAACATAATTTTAAACACTTTTTATTAAAGCAAACATGGATTCATGAGCTAAAGTCATGTAACTTTTTGGTTTTCAGTACTAGGGATTGAACCCAGGGCCTTCACACTGAGCTACATCTACAGGCCCTTTCCTTTGTATTTTTAAAATTTTGATAGGGTCTCACTAAATCGCTAAGTTGCCCATTCGGGGCTTGAACTTGAGATCCTCCTGCTTCAGCCTCCCAGAGTGCTGGAATTACAGGTGTGAGTATCACACCGGCTGCTAAGAGGAGACTTTAGGGGGAAAATTTTAGGGCAGCAGAAAGGCCTGTTAGAAGCAGCTCCTTCTATTCTGTGCACACAGAATGTATTCACTGTGGCCTGGATGTCAGGGTGGGTGGGCCTGGGGGTGTAAACATCGCTGCCCTCAAGTCACTTCCGAATTTCCCCGACTTCTGCACATCAGCATTGTGCTGGTTCCTCTTTGTGCAAGGGCTTTAGGCCCCCGTGAGCGCTGCCACCTGGGCACTTCTGTGTCTGTCTCTAGGAGGGACCCTGACAGGAGGCCCAGGGGGCCATGAATGTGCTTGATGCCACTGAGCATGAGATCACTCAGGAGGGAAGGCCAGTGACAAGCAATCCAAGAGTGGGCTGAGGCAGGAGGACTCCTGGGATGCCCAGAACACACACGCGCACGCACGCACGCACGCACGCACGCACGCACACACGCCTGGGTGAGAGTGCAGCAGAGCCCACCTTGGCAAAGCGGTTGCTGCCGGCCCGCTCCTTGTGCAGGCTGTAGTCCAGGAGCCGCTTGCAGATGGTCTCGGTGACCTCGATCAACCGCAAGTCCCTGCCGAGACAGCAGCAGAGAGGCGCTGAGTTCCCTCCCCAGCCCGGCGCATCCCTCCAGCCCTGCTGCCCGGCACCCGCGCGGCTGGCTCACCGACAACGGGAAGGCAGAGCTGGAAGGGAGAGCTCATCGGGCCTGGGGGCTCGGGAGGCTGGAACACAGACCAGAGAGATAGTGGGGTCACAGCTCTGCAACCCTGGCTGCTCATGCCCAGCGCCTGCTCTGGCACCGAGCTACATCCTGAGTTTTTATTCATTTAATTTTTTATTTTAAAGAGACATGAGAAGGTTTACTAGAGGCAGAGAGACAGGACAAACTCAAGAGCAGTGTATGTGTGCTCAGAGAATGAAGCACCTTTATTCAAGCATTTTTTTTTTATTAAGTTCTTTTTACGGTTTTTTTTTTGGTACCAGGGATCGAACTCGGGTCCTTGAGCCTGCACAGCAGGCGACGAAACCACTGAGCTAAATCCCCGGCCCTTATTTATGCTTCTGAGACAGGGTCTCGGTATGTAGTCCAGGCTGGCCTTGAACTCATTATGTAGCTCAAATTGGCCTCCAACGAGCAGCAATTCTCCTGCCTCAGCCTCCTAAGTGCTGGGATTACAGGGGTGCACCACCATATTCAGCTTTTGATTTTAATAAAGCAAAACATCAAATTTTGGAGGGAAAACATCAGTACATTTTGAAAGCGTGGTTGTGGCTGGCAGACATTCCTTTCAGGTTTTTTTTTTTTTTGGTACTGGGGATCAAACTCGGGACCTTGCGCTTGTGAGGCAGGCAACAGAACCACTGAGCTAAATCCCCGGCTCCTTTCAGGTTTTGATTTTAATATCTTTTGCTGGCAAGAAGCATCAACAGTTCCATGCATCTTTCGCTTACAGGTGAGGATTCTGTGGCAGACAAGGACTAGAGAAGCCAAAGCCAGGGCAGACCTGGTCCCAGTGTGAGCGCTGCCTCTCCCTCGCTGCCTCTCCCTCGGCATGGGTCCGGAAGGGCGATCACCAAGCCCCGACCGAGGAGGGGGAGGGGGAGGGGAGGGGGGGGACCCTGAGCTCCGCACTTACGACTTGGTGTATCTGACGCCCTCTGCCTTGCGGTCCAGGATGCCATAGCCCGTCCCAATCATCTCCTTCGTCTTGCCCGTTTCATCAAAGGCGGACTTCAGCTCCACAGCGACGTATTTGCACACTGCAGTGGGGGACACACGACACCGCCCAGCCCTGAGAGCGTGCGCAGGAGCCTGAGGAGAGGCCAGCGCCCAAGCAAGACGACCCAGGCGGAAACACTCCTGGCCTGGACAAGGCACTGCTGGAGGCAGGCAGGAGTCAGCGCCACCCAAGCCTTCATGCCCCTCATTACTTCTAAAAGCTTCACGTGTGGTGAAGGGTGGTGGCGCTGGCCTGTAATCCTGGCACTCAGGAGGCTGAGGCAGGAGGACTGGGAGTTTGAGCTCAGGCTGGGCCACCTAGAGAGTTCAAACCCAGTCTGAACTACATAGTGAGACCCTGTGTCAGAGAATAAATGAATCAGACATAGCATCCCTGAGGCCCTGGATCTGATCCCCAGAACCACAAGGAAAAAAAGAGGTCTAAGGGCCGGGGATTTAGCTCAGTGGTTTCGCCACCTGCTGTGCAGGCTCAAGGACCCGAGTTCGATCCCCGGTACCAAAAAAAAAAGAAAACGAAAAAAAGAGGTCTGGGTTGTAGCTCCGTAGTAGCATCCTTGCCTAGTATTCACCAGGCCCTGGGTTCAAATTCCCCATACCAAAAATAAAATGAAACAAAATAAACGATTATTTTTTTAATCCTAACCAAAAGGAAAGTACTGTAATTAGTAGACTGACCTCAGAGTTAACATCTGTTACCCAACAATTTGGTCACATTATAAGGGATGGGGTTTTAAGGAGAAACAGACCTGTGACTACGATTTAATTCTGACGCACCAGAGGCTTTCTCACCACAATGCAAGGCCAGGCCGGACAACTCAGGGAGACCCTGTCTCAAAATAAAAACAGCTGGGAAATAAGCATATGAAAAATGTTCAACACCACTGGTCATTCAAGAGAAATGCTGAAGTTCCACCTCACTTCAGAAAGAATGGCTGCTATCAAGAAATCAACCAATCGGCCCGGGGATTTAGCTCAGTGGTTCTGCCACCTGCCCTGCAAGCACAAGGTCCCGAGTTCAATCCCGGTACCAAAAAAAAAAAAAATCAACCAATAACAAATGTTGGCGGGGCTAAGGGGAAAAAGGAACCCTTCTCCACTGTTGGTGGGAGTGCAGACTGGTGCAACCACTGTGGAAATCAGTGTGGAGATTCCTCAAAAAAACTAAAACTTTTCAGCTAGCTATTCTTCTTGGTAACTTCCCAAAAGAATTAAAAGCATCAAGCCACAGCAATATATGCACAGCCATGTTACAGCGGCACAGTTTGTAACAGCTAAATCTTGGAAACAGCCCAAATGCCCATCAACCAACAGATGGATAAAGATGTAGTTTTTTTGTTTTTGTTTTTGGTACCGGAGATCGAACTCGGGACCTTGCGCTTTCGAGGCAGGCACTGGAAACACTGATCTAAATCCCTGGCCCAAGATGTAGTTTTTTATACAATGGAGCACTACTCTGCCATAAAGGATGAGCTTGAGACATTTCTAGCTAAACGGATAGACCTTGAGACCATACTCTTAAGTGAAATAAATCAGATACACATGTTTAAACACAACATTGTTTCTCTGGAGTGAGAAACTGAAAGTGGAAATAATTAAAATATATAACAGATAATGGGAAATGGGAAGAAAATGTTCAAATGGGAAGGGGAACAAGGGAGGAGGCAGGGAGAAGGAAGGAAAAAGAAAAAAAGTGAAAATAGAGGGAAAAAATGGAAACAAAGGTTTTCTACATAGGGAGAGGAGGGGGCTTGAAGGGAGGAGAGAATGGGGAAAAAAGAGGCAGGATGTATCATGTACAGGTGCAAATTCCCTATGATGAGTGTTATCATTATGTATGCCTAAAATGTACCAATAAATGTTCTGCTATTAAAAAAAAAAAAAAAGGAGAGGGGATGTGAGTCAGTGCCAAGTTCAACCCCCAATAACACACTAAAAAAGCTGCAAATATAACCTTTCCCCCACCTACATCAGCATGTGCCTTTCACATACCTCCCAAGAAGCACATTCCCCATAACAAAATCATTACGAAACCTGGAAAATCAACACTGCATCACCCAGTAGTCCCTGTTAAAACTGTCCTAACCGGGGCCAGGGGTTTAGCTCAGTGGTGCTGCCACCTGCCTCACAAGTGCAAGGTCCTGAGTTCGATCCCTGGTACCGCCCCCCCCCCCAAATTTGTCCTAACTGTCCCCTAAATATCTTTTATGACTGTTTTTTGGTTTGGTTGGTTTTTGTTTTTCTTTTTTTTGGTACCAGGGATTGAATTCAGGACCTTGTGCTTGCAAGGCAGGCGCCAGAACCACTGAGCTAAATCCCTGGCCCCCGGTTTTGGTTTTTTGAGACAGAGTCTTGCTATGCAGTTCAGGCTGGCCTTGAACTCACTATGTAGCCCAGGCTGACCTCAAACTTGCGGCGATCCTTCTGCCTCAGCCTCCCAAGTGCTGAGATCAGAGGCCTGCACCATCCCCCTCAGCTCTTTTATGGCTGTTTACCCCCTGATTACATGTATTCCAGAGCCCCTCTCTATTCCTGCCACATCAGTGAGCATCGTCCCCCCAGAGGCCTTGCCTGACATGTGCTTTCTCATCTCCTTCCCTTCCTGTGTCAGTAAGGAACTCCTGTTCACCAGGCCCTGCCTGGTTCAGACAGAAACAAGGGCCCCCTTCCCAGGCACTGAGCCTCAAGGGGCAGGCAGCAGTGTAGACCATCACTGCAGGAAAGGAGCCAAAACACACTAGGCTTCCTGCCCATTCTTCTAACAGACAGTGCATTAAACCTCCACCCCCAGGCAGCCCTCCGGGACTAATCCCACCCACTCTGGATTTCACACTGGGCTCTGCAGGCTCCTTGCTCTCTCTAAGGGACTCAGTCATTTCCCAAGTCTCTCCCCAGAATACAAGGGTCGCCAGCATCCCTGAGCACTGGGTTGCTCCTGGGTCTCTGGCCTCAGACTCTGCACGGCGAAGGCTTGGGTGTTCTCGCTGACACAGCCACACTTGTGGCTGAGGCCTCAGAAAGGAATTCTGCACTGTGACAACACTGACAACAGAGTGTGGCTGAAAACCAGTTACCACAAAAATACAGAAAAGTCAAAATACATGGTGAGTGTTTAAATTTTAAGAATTTCAGTTTCTAGGCATGGTGATGCAGGCCTGTAATCCTAGCATTTGGGAGGCTGCAACAGGAGGCTCGAGGCCAGCCTGGGCTACATAGTGAGTTCAAGACCAGCCTGACCTACATGGTGAGACCCTGCCTCAAAAAAAAAAAAAAAAGAAAGAAAGAAATATTCCCTCAAAACCCTCCCCCTCTCTGGAACACATTCATCTCGGTGTCCTTGCCATTTTCTGCAGCATCTCTATAGTTCTCTTTCCTGAGTGTCTTCATAAAGTGTGATCAAAAATATGGTGACTGGGCCAGGGATTTAGCTTGGTGGTGCTGCACCTGCCTCACAAATGCAAGGTCCTGAGTTCGATCCCTGGAATCAAAAAAAAAAAAAAAAAAAGGTGACTGCTGCTGCCCAGTGCCATCCAGCAGAAAGGCCAGGCTGGTAAAAACATGTCGCTGTGTCCTCACCTACCTCAGTCACCAGATCTGGCACCATGTGACTTTTGGTCTTCCCCAAAGTAAAAATGACCATAAAAGGGAAACACTTTGAATCAATTCAGGACATCAAGGCAGCTAAGACAGCAGCGCAACTACAGACACTCACAAAAGAGGACTCGAGAGCCGCTGCAGAGAGTGGCAAGAACCATGGGATCAGGGTGAAGCAAGGAGTCTGAGGGGGATTCATGGCAATGTCATTTACTGTAATAATTTTTTTTTGTACTGAGGATTGAACTCAGGACCTCGAGCTTACCAGGTAGGTGCTGTGCTGCTGAGCTAAATCTCCAGCCCTTTGTAATAAAATTTTATCCTTTTTTTTTTTTTTCGGTACCGGGGATCGAACTCAGGACCTTGCACTTTCGAGGCAGGCGGCAGAACCACTGAGCTAAATCCCCAGCCCCATCCTTGTAATAAAATTTGAAATGCAAACACTCACCATACATTTCAATTGTAGCACCCAAACCCTGAAGGTTTGATGAAATCCTGTACCAAGCACACTGATCAATGGCTTGCAGGACTCAGGACACACAAACACTCCAAGTTCTAATCTGTGATCTCAGGGTCTGGAGTACACTAAGGTCACCCCCTTCCCTGGCTCTCCCTCAGTGACCCTCAGGGTTCCCGCCTGCACTCCAGAATGCTCAGCATTTCTCTGGCACCTCTGCCACAGTCTCCACAGCCTCCAAGTGCAGTATTTCAAGGGGGGAGAAGCTGAGGCCTGAAATATTTACTCTCTTCTATTTTCTGGTACCAGGGATCGAACTCAGGACCTTGCGCTTTTGAGGCAGACGTGGCAACACTGAGCTAAATCCCCGGCCCAGCCATCTACTCTCTTCTACCCAAGAGCCACAACTTTGCTTCCAACTCTTGCAGGTATTGCCTCTGGAGAGCCCTCCCAGAACTGGACTTGGAGAAGCTCACGGCACAGACCCCAGAACCCCATGGGCATCCGTCCGCTCCTTTCTGAGCAGCTTCTCCTTGCTCCAGCCAGAGCTTGTTCCCACCCGGCTGGGGAGCCTGAAGGCAGGGTTTTCGGGCCAGACCTCATCAGCACTTAATAACAAAGGTGCAGTAATGATAATAAATGCCACATTAAGAGCAGCCTACAGGCTGGAGTTTGCCAAGCCAGTCTGTAACTGAAAATCCCTTGTAAATTAATCTTCACCAATTACAAAATGAGGTTAGGGTAGAATGATCTCTAAGATCTTTGCCAGCTCTGGGCTTCTGGGTCTGTGGATGCCTCTGAAGCCAAAGAAATGTGAGCTGGTCAGGCCATGAGAATCAGAAGAGGAACAGTGGGGACTCTTTGGTATCAGAATAAATCAGAAAGTGAAGGGAAGAGGAAATGAAATACCCAAAAGGAGGTCAGTCAGGACTAGAGGAAGCAGGCAGAGTGCACCCCGACAGAGGAAACCCACACTGGGTACGGCTGAGTTCTGGGACAGCAGGATCGGCTCACTTTTCATCTTGGAAATCGGAGGATTATGTGCTCCAAACCACTCAACCCACAGGCAGAGCTTAGGGACATCTGGCCCAATGCAGTCTTTGAATTCAGATGAACCAGATCCAGAGCCAACTTTTGCGGGGCTTAGGGCTAGAGGGTGGGATGGAAGGGGTGACTGAAAGGTCAGAGGAAACTGAGAAATGGAGGGAGGCCCTTCATAGTCCTAGATCCCTGGCCAGCTCTCTGAAAAACCTGCTTCCGCTTCTTTTTGTTTGTTTTTGTTTTTTGAGACAGGGTCATGCTATGTAGTTCAGCCTGTATGCAAACTCGCCGAAATTCTCCTGCCTCAGCCTCCCGACTGCTGGGATTACAGGTGCCCGCTCCTGCTTCTGCTTCTGCTTCTGCGATTTGGGAACTTACCTTTTCTCAGTATTTCTAAAATCTTCCTCCTTCACCCACTTTCCCCGGGTTGCGTGCCTCCTGCAGAGTGCCCCCTCTTAAGGCCTAGGACCCTCCTCCTTCCTCCATACCCCTGGGCCCACCATTTCGTTCTTCGTGTTATAAACACTTCTCCTGGGTGCCTACCAGAAACTGAGTGAGTATCAGACCGAGTCCCTGTGCTCAGTGCTGTCGGAGGGGGCAACACAGCACTGCACAGTGGAGAGGGAAGCGAGGGGTGCTGCAGCTGCTGCTTCCCGTTTCAGTTCCTCAAACTCAAACTCCTCGGAGCTGCCAGGCCAGGCCTGCTCTCCTCTGGGCGCCCCTCTCCCCACTTCTCTTCACCTGCCTACTCTCACTACCCTGCAGGCTCCTGCATGATGTCTCCCCGACGCCTCCTCCACCCCACCAACAGGAGAGATCTGCTGCTCCCCTCAGCCCCGAGCCCTGCGCTCCTCTTGTCATTGGATCCCCCGCACCCCGGTGCCCAGGGCCCACCCCAGCACCCAGTGGATCCCTGCAAGCAGCCCAGAGCCTAGACCTTAGCCCCGCCCCAGCCCCGCCCCCTCACCTTCGCATTTGCTGGGGAGCCGGACCCAGTCGGTCTCCTCTGCCCGGGCCTGGCTCGGGCCCAGCTCCGGGCCCGGCGGCAGCAGCAGCAGCAGCAAGGGGAGAAGCGGAAGACAGCGGGGTGCAAGCTCGATCAGCGACTCCATGGCCCAGGCGGGCCCGATCCGCAAGGACCGGGGGCGCTTCTTCCAGCGGCGCGCGCCCAGCAGCTTCCCCGAGCCGCTTCCGGGACTGTGCACGTGCCTGGCGTAACCACGGCAACCGCGAGCCCCCTCCCCCGCGCCCCCTCCCCTCCCGGCCTCAGCCCGCCTTCCTAACGGACGGACGACGCAGCCAATGGACTTCCTCCGGGTTTACCTTCTAGCCAATAAGAAGACGACTCTTTTTCGGGCTCGGCCAATAAGAGAGCATATGGTGGCTTCAGGGACCAATGTCTACTTTTCTCCCACCCCCTAACGGAGACTCGGGTGAGGTTAGAGGACGAGGACCAAGGGACTAGAGCATCGGGTCTGATCCTGGCTGGCCCTGCGTGGGCCGGTTCGGGCGCACTGATCCTGGAAGATGTGGGGAAGACTTTTTCCCACGGTTTTCTCCTCCTGTTTAAGCATCATTTCCTTCCTGGGGTCCTAAAGGCCTCACTGAGCACCTGCTTTTAAACTGTTATCCTTGGAGTCACTCTAGCCGTTGCCTTGTTGGGTGACATCAAGACGACTCGGTCCCCATGGCATTTGTCCTCGTGGGAATTGGAATCGGTAACTTCCTCCCCAGCCCCAGTTCCTGATGACCCAGGGTCCACCCGACTGCTATGCTACCTAGGCTGCCTGTGGTTGGAGCTTTTGTGCAATTAAAGCTTATCGAGCAGATGGGAAAAACTCTCAGGCATTTTCTTTGGCGAATGTAAGCCCAACACCTTCACTGTCCTGTTATTTATTTCTTTGGATTCTTAGCTCCCAGAAGGCAGGAGCTCGGCTGATGTGCGGTTGTATTTCCTTTCCTTCTGCCTCCTCAGCAGCAGCGGATAATGAGTTGGCACCAGGAGATACCAAGCAGGTCCCCTCTCTATGCCATCCGAGTACGCTCTGGGTCCTCGGTGCTGCTTCAGGATGTCCCCGAGCTCAGTTCTGTGGATGCACACAGACTGGGCCTGCTGCCCTAGGAAGTCTGCAAACTGCACTTTTACCCATAAAGCAATAATCTTCCCCAGTTCCTTGTTTCTTTCCTAGAGGTTGGATACTCTGCTGCATTAGGAAGATGGGTGGACTGAGGCCCAGGCCTTTGTCATTTTCTGGCTGCGGTGTTGGTCCCAGGCACTCCGGGGAGGCAGGGCTGTGGCACGTGGAGTCCACTGAGTGGCTCCACTTCCTCTCCCAAGGCCAAGCAAGACCCGGGGAGGCTGACGCCAGCCGGCCGTGCTCAGGGAGATGACATGCAGCCTGCTGCAGTGGGGGTGGAGAGGTGACAGGGAGAGATGCTGAAGCTGAGGGAAGCCCACTTCCAGGATGGACAGAAGGCCTCAGAGAGGACATTCACAGAGGCAGAATTAGTTTGGGGGAAGCCAAGAACTCAGGCCTGAGTGCCTGAAGGGACCACGGCTCAGGAAGTGTGGGCACAGCTGGCCCTGTTCCCCCAGCCTGTGCCATGGGGGGGAGGCCCAGGCCCATGGGATGGTGGAGGCTCCAGCTCAGAAGCTGTAGGGCCCCCTTGTAGCTGAATACTGAAGACTGCAGAAAGGTGGGGCTCAGCTGCAGGAGGAGGGGCCTGTGAGAGTCTCCTCCATGGGGAGCAGCTGGCATGCAGGCTCAGGGAGGCCAGTGCCACCTCCACCAAGTAGGGACAGTGCAGCATAGTTCCCACTGCCCCCTGATCATCAGACTTTCCCATGGCCCAGAGGACACTGTGAGACTCTCTGAAGAAAGGCTGCGTTTCCTGGCCATGCTGGGGACATGGGACACATGGGACACATGGATCAGATGCCACTGTGGGAACTTCTTAGCCTGTCAGTGCAAGAATCCCATTTAGAGCAGTGGCACACACCTATCATCCCAGCACCTAGGAGGCTGAGGCAGGAGGACTGCCTTGAGTTCAAGGCCAGCCTGGGCTACATAGTGAGTTCAAGGCCAGCTTTAACTACCTTGTCTTCAAAATAAATAAACAACAGCTGGGAGTGGTGGTACACGTCTGTAATTCTAGCACTCTGGGCAGCTGAGGCAAAAGAGTTGCAAATTCAAGCCCAGCCTGGGCAGATCAGTGACTTAGCAAGACCCTGTCTCAAATTTAAAAATTAGAAAAAGGGGCTGAGGATGCAGCTCAGTGCAAAGGCCCTAGGTTCCATCCTCAGCAACAAACAAAACAAGGCGACACAACTCCCAAAACCAAAAACCTCTTTAGGAAACAAGGCAGAAACAAAACAGGCAGCCTCTTTGGTGCCTGGCTCTTTGCTGGTACTTGGTGAGTATCTATCTGTCAAGAGAATAAGGGTCCTGAGTTGATTAACAGTGCATAGCATTACCCAAGTTCGATCCCCAGTACCAAAAACAAAAAAAAGAAAAAAGGAAAAAAACAGTCCATAGCACTGGAATCATCTCCTCGGGCTCTGAGCACTGGGCTGAACCTGTTTCCCAGCTCTGGGCTCCGCTCCTTCCGTCGAGTCCAGACAGGTCTCAAGCCTAGCACCCTCACCAGGCTCCTGGCTCCCCACCTGTCCCTCACAGCTTGGGTCAGACCATGGTGGCCTTGCCCAGCACCTGACTATAGGGAGTCAGAGGTGGGCAGCTTCCTTGGCCCCACCCCTGCGCTGGAACTGCAGCCTCCTGCACTTAGGAAGCCTCCTCCTCTGGGGAGCCCCCCAGAGTCCTGCATCTCTAACTGCCCAATTCCCAACCCACCCCACACAATTAAATATTAACCATTTAAAATTATGATATTTAAACATGTTCATTTTCTTGTGTCATTTAAGTTCTTTAATTGTGCTCAGTTCTCTGCCCCTGCAATGTCCAGGGTCTGGGCAGATCCATGCTGACCAGGGCTCTTAATGTGAAGAGGAGACACAGCCTTCATTTGCCCAAAGCCCTCTGTCTGAGGGTGGAGGCAGAGCCCTGCCCCAGGAAACCTAGTCAACCTACCTGATTGGAGGAGGCAGGTCACACATAAAAAAATGCTCAGAGGTGCCGGGGATTTAGCTCAGTGGTTCTGCCACCTGCCTCGAAAGCACAAGGTCCTGAGTTTGATCCCCTGTACCAAAAAAAAAAAACAACAATGCTCAGAGCCAGGTGATGTGGTGGTGCACATCTGTGATCCCAGCATTGGAGGCTGAGGCAGGAAAATTGCAAGTTCAAGGCCAGTCTAGGGTACTTAGCAAGAATCTGAATCAAAATTTTAAACAAAGATCTGAGTCTTGGGAAAGGAATCTTGAGGGTGTCCTGAGCAGCAGGCCAGGCCGGGCCCCACGGGTAGAGTGTGTCCCCTCCTCTGACCTGAATGGCAGGTGCTCTTTTAGCTGTCCCTCAGGCACTGCGGCTAGGCACTGGGGTGGTAGCTGGCGGTGGGTGCGGGAGGCCGAGGCAGGCAGGTACAGGTCAGGAACACATCAAGAAGCAGCAGCTTGAACAGCAGCAGTCTCAGGGCCCCCAGCCACAGGCCCTGGGCCTGGGAGCCTGGGAGGGGAGGAGCAGGGTGAAGTGGAAGAGCCACAGGGGCCTCTCCTCTGCCCTGATCTTGTACCTCTTCTCTGTTCCCTCCTCCAAGGACTCCTTGCTGGTGTCAAACCTCAGAGGACCTTCCCAGCCCTCAATGGCCAGTGGGCCGGCAGGATTAGCATCTGATGCTGGCAGTAACCAGCCCAGACTTCTTTATTTGCTCAAGAAACAGACATCACAGCACTCTGGGAGGCTGAGGCAGGAGGATCTCAAATCCCAGTCCAGCCTGGGAAACCTAGTGACTTAGACCCTGGCTCAAAATAAAATATAAAAATATTTTAAAAGTCTGGGGATGTAGCTCAGTGCTACCTGGCCTTCTGTCGCCTGTGCTCATTCTGACGTCCAGGAGTTAGGCTGGGGACAGAGGACTCACCCCATCTGACCGTAGGGAGCAAAGGCTGACGGCCCTGGCTGCCTCTGGCTTCTAGCCTAGTGCTGGTACTCACCTCCGAGAGGCTCCCCATAGCAGGTCCTGGCGGCAGAGGCTGCTCCTGCCAGCCAAGGAGAAGGCAGTGGGTCAGCAACCAGGAACCAGGGCCAGGCGCCCTGCCCCGTGTGCCCGCCCAGGGTGTGCAGCTTTCAGGGCATGGGATGCCAGCACCAGCGTGGGAGCCCACAGCTGAGAGGCGGAGGCCCGTCGGCCCTGAGCCAGGCACCACCCCGCCTCCCTGCCACACCGCCCCCACCTGACAGCTGCAGGGGCTGCGTGCTCCGGCGAGGGCCCCCGGGCCCCGGCTCCGTGTGGCAGACCAGGGGCTCCCAGGCGGCCCAGTCCTCGGCGGGCAGGGACAGCTGGGCCAGGCTGCTCCAGGTGCCATCGGTGGCAGGGGCTGGGCCATAGGTAAAGGCGTCCAGGGCGCTGCCGTTGCCAGCGGAGAACCAGACGGGGCTGTCCAGACCAGGGGGTGCGACGTCGAGGACCAGGCAGACCACCATGGTGCGCCACTTCCCGTCCACCAGCAGCGTCACCGGCGGGGCCAGAGAGGGGAAGGGCGCGGCACCCGCACCTGCAGGAGCGCACAGGCCGGCTCGGATCAGCCCGGTCCCGCGCCGCGTCTCACTGTGGGCAAGGGCTCCAGGCTGTCCCGTCGATCCTTCCTCCATCACCATTCGTCCACCCATCCCTCCCTCCTTCCACCCTCCACCCTCCATCTGTTCTTCCTATCTTCCATCTAAATATGTATATGTCTGCCATCCTATCTATATGTCTGTCCATCCATCCGCCCCCTTTTTTTCTTGGTTTTTGAGACACAGTCTTGCTATGTAGCCCAGGCTGGCCTGGAACTTGTGGCAACCCATCTGCCTCAGCCTCCAGAGTGCCACCATGCCCACCACACCCAGTTCCATCTGTCCGTCCATCCTTCTGTCCACCTGTCTACTCTCTCCAAGCTCCTCTCTATGCTACGTACTGGGGACATAATGTGGAACAAGACATTGTCCCTGTCCTTGAGGAGCCCAGTCACATGGGAAAGACAGCAGGTGTGGGAGCAAAGCTCATAATACCTTGTGCTGGTGGCCTTGGGACAGTGGTCACCTCTGGAGAAGGAGGGAAGTAGACAGGGCCTGGAATCAGAGGAAAAATATCAAATATTTCTGTGACTTCCTTCTTTGAAAAAAGATGTGATTCAAATACGGCAAAATCCTGACCATTTGTTGCTCTGAGTGGAGCGCGCACGGCTGTGTGGTGTTAGCCCCAGTTCTTCCCCCCATGCCTGTGGCTTTGGTGGGGGCTGATTCTGCCTGGGATGTGAGTGTCAGTGTGCAAGTGTGTGCATGTGTTTGTGTGGTGCCGAGATGGGACTCAGGGCCTCACGCATGCTACACAGTGCTCAGACGCTGAGCTGCAACCGCCCTTTTAAAAGGCAGTTTTCTTTATACACAAGCCACAAGACACACAATTCACCCACTTACCATCTAGGTCTAATATCTCATGATTTAAAAATACGAGTCACACGGTGCTGCCAGTGTTTGTCCTGAGTTCCCAGTCTTACTCTTTTCAGGGAAGATGACTCAGGTAACGCATAACAAGATGCTGTATGTGGAATATCTGGATTTTTGAAACTTATACAAATTCACACTGTGAGTTCTGTGTAGCCAGGCTGCAGACCGGCTCGGAGCATGGGGAACCCAGAACCGAGGGGAGGTGGTGACGAGAACCCTGAGGGTTTGGGGCCACACAGCTGGGGGGAGTCTCTGGTCAGGGTTTGGACTCTGACTCCAGAGCCCATGGACCTCCCCACGCAGCCTGACCTCGACTGTCATGTGTCCCTCAGCTTCAGGAAGAGTTGGGACCCGGTCACCCACTCAGCTCTCCAGGGCAGACTGTCCCATGAGATAATGGGGTCAGCCCCAGAAAACTGCTCTGAAAAGACCATAAATGTCAAATCCCTTGGCAGATAAGTTTGGGTATTATTTATTTTTCCTTCTTTTTTTTTTTTTTTTTTTTTTGTAGTGTTAGGGATTGAATGCAAGACAAGTGCTTTCCTGCTGAGCTACATCACTAGCCCTACCCCGGCCTTTTTTGTGATGGGGTCTCACTGTGTTGCCCAGGTTGGACCCAGACTTGTGACCCTCTTGCCTCAGCCTCCCTGGTACCTTGGATTATGGGCCCACACCACTGCCTCCAACTGCATTATTCTTGGTATTACTATCACTAAGCCAAAGAAAGGTAACGGGAAAGCTGGGAGTGAGCCCTGGATCTCCAACTTCCTGAGCCTCTTTGGCTGCACACATAAGACAGTCTCTGCCAGAGCTGAGTTTTGCTCCTCCTCCTTTGTGAAGCCTGCCAGGATTGCTTTTCCTCACCCCAGCTGCTTCCTTCCCACAGCTCAGGCCTCTTGTCACGGGCTCACCCTGGTCTACCTGTGCCACTAAGGGGGCACCTGGGACACACCTCAGGCCAGCTGGGATCAAGGAGACCCCTGAAGCTAAGGGTAGTGGCACATGCCTCTCATCCCAGCACTCAGGAGGCTGAGGCAGGAGGATCACCGGGAGTTTAAGGCCAGCCTGGGCTACATAATGAGTTCAAGGTTGGCCTGAACTACACAGCAAGACCCTGTCTCAAAAAAAAAAAAAAAAAAGGAAAAGGGGCTGGGGATGTAGCTCAGTGTGAAGGCTCTGGGTTCAATCCTTAGTACTAAATAAATAAATATACAGATAGATAAATAAGACCCCTGACTCAGGGCCAGCACGTCCCTCACAACACACACACAAACGCTCACGCCCCGCAGTGACCCAGAATTCTCCCTGGGATGCAGGAATCCTGCAGACCGGCCTTGACCGGGGAGGGGCTAGTAAACACCCTGGCAAGGCCAAGGCCAAGGCGCTGAGGCCTGCGGATCCCTCCTGAGCCACTGGGCAGAGGAAGCAGGAAGTGAACTTGAGACCCCAGCTCTGTGGGCACCGGGCTCTCCAGGGTAGCGCTGACGGCCAGGACCCGCTGTGTCCGGGGTCACTGCCGGCTCTGCTCCGCCCCACCTCTGTGGCTGTCCTCCTGGGCGGCTCCCTCTCCCCACAGCTTGGTCGGGCAGGCGGCTGGAGGTGGAGGAGGGTGGACATCGGGTGAGTCCGTCCCGAGGGCCCTGTTCTGTCCCCCACCCAGGGAGGCCCACAGAAGGGTCCCGAGAGGATGCAAAGGGGCTCACCTGTGGGCAGAGCTGCACACCCGAGGGCCAGGAGAAGCAGCGGGCACATCCCTGCCATGGCCCACGGGGAGGGAGGCGCCCACTGCCAGCTGCACCCCAGCTGCTTGCCACCAGCCGTGTCCCCTCCCAGGGTCCTCCCACGCCGGCAGGAGGGTTCCTCCCTTCTGAAGAGCACCGCAGGGGGAGGCCTCCGGGGCACCTGCCAGCTCTGCGTCCCGCCCCCCAACGCGGGGCGCATTTCACACGGGGCAGCCAAGCCAAGGCTCCGGAAGGTGTGGCGGGCGGGGATAGCGCCAGGGCTCCGGCTCCTCCCAGACGGCGCCTTGCAGGCAGAGAGGCCCAGGAAACTTTTTTCTGCAGGGTTCTAAGCCCCCTTTAACCATTTTTTTTTGTTGTTGTACTGGGATTGAACCCAAGGCCTTTGCACTGAGCTATATCCTAGGCCCCCTTGCCCTCCATCCCTTTTTTTTTTCTTCATTAGGTTACTAAATTGCCCAGCCTGAGCTAGAACTGGTGATCCTCCTGCCTCAACCTTTTGAGTGCTGGGATTATGGGAGTGACCACCACACCCACCTTCAAATCCCCTTTTAAAAATAGAGTTTTTGGGCTGGGGATTTAGCTCAGTGGTTTCACCACCTGCTGCACAAGCGCAAGGACCTGAGTTTGATCCCTGGTACCAAAATAAATAAATAAATAAAATAAAATAAAATAGAGTTTTTGCCAGGCATGGTGGTGCCTGCCTGTACTTCAAGTACTTAGGAGGTTGAGGCAGGAGGATCATGATTTCAAAGCCAACCTGGGCTACAATAATGAGTTCAAGGCCACCCTGGACTACATAGTGAGACAGACATTTTTCCCAAAAGCTCATCAACTGTTTATTGAATAATCTTTTCTGACCCATTATCTTTGAACCCTTCCTTAGTGCATGGCCGTGTCTTTTATACAGACAGATTTGTTTCTCCCGGGTTCCTGGACCTGCTTACTCCAGTGCCAGCCTTGTCCCTGGCCACTTTGATCACCCCACTGCCCCCCTTCATGGCACCTGGAGACTGTAGGCTCCTTGAGTTCCCAGGCCACCAAGCCAGGTGTGCAGCCATGGGGACCCGCAGGGAGGGGAAGCAGGTGTCCTAACGACTCTTGTGTGACCACATCACAGACGGGAAAGGCCCTCTGGCTGCTGCCTCGGGGTCTCAGGACTTCTTGGGGACAGCAAGCCAGGGGTCCCTGCCTGGCTGCCCAGCCACTAGTTCCCAGCTGCACCTGGCTCAGCCTGGGTGCTCCCAGCTTACTTTCTTTTGTCCTTAGGGATTTTTTTTTTTAAATGGTATTGGGGATTGAACCCAGAGCCTCTGCACTGAATTACATCCCAGTCCCTTATTCTTCGTTATTATTTTGAGACAGGGTCTTACACCATTTCTGTTTTTTGGTTTTTGGGTTTTTTTGGTACCGGGAATCGAACTGGGGACCTTGTGCTTTCGAGGCAGGCGCTAGAACCACTGAGCTAAAACCCCAGAGACAGGGTCTTGATAAGTCCAGGCTGGGCTGGAACTTGCCATCCTCCTGCCTCAGCCTCCTGGAATGCTAGGATTACAGGGCTTGGATGTGCTCTAGGCCTTCCCCTGCACTCTCCCTCTGCCCCATGCCCAGTGGTTCCTGGAGAACCCTGCCCTGAGTTCTGGTGGGTTTGCCTATCTCCCCAAAGCTCTGAACTGAAGGACACACCAAGGGTCTGGGTGCTGTGCCTTCACTCCCTGAAACCCAGGGCCTTGTTCAACTGAGATGAGCCTGGCAGGATAGGAGCAAGGAAACAATGGAAATGCAACTGTGTGCACTAGAGAAGATTGCTGCTGTCACCAGGTAATCATCAGTGACACATCCAACACTTGCAGTTAGGGGACAGTGCTCAGTGTAGGATGGGGTCCGCATTCGCATGCGCACTGAGACATCAGAAGTAGGCGCCCATGGTTTATCAAATGGAAATCCCAGTGCTGGCCCTGGGGGTGGGGAATAGGGGAGGACACTCACCCAGGACGTCCGCAGCCCTAGGCTCCATCTCCTCACTGAAAAAGGAAAACTATAGCACTATTTACAGTAACTATGAATACAAAATCATCTAAATGTTCAAGGGTAGGGAAATGGCTAAAATGGTGTTATCTATGCGATGAAGTACTATGCAAGCCCTAAAATGTCTATTCTTTTTTTCTTTTCTTGAGACAAAGTTTCACTAAGTGGCCCCGGCTGGCCTCAAACTTGAGATCCTCCTGCCTCAGCTTCCCGAGTGCTGAGATTACAGGCATACACCACCATGCCTGGCTTCCAATCATTTTTTTTTTCCATTCTAAACTATTTATTGGTTTCTGTTTTATGGTAGGAATTGGGGCTGAGAATAATAAGGGTGCTCTCAGCAGGAAGATGGGGAGATGGACAGGAGGGGACTTGGAGGAACTAAGCACATGTGAGTGCACTGGAGTGTGTGTGTGTACTTGTGTGTATGTGTGTGTGTGTGTGTTAGAAGGAGGGCAGGGTCCTGGGGATCCTTCTTCCAGAGGAGTGAGAGGTCACGAAGAGTGCTTTGAAACTGACCTGTAAGTTCTTTCTGAGTTTATCATGGCCTGGAAACATGTTTGGGTTCTGATGTCAATTTAAGAAGGATAAAAAATAAGGTTTGTGTGCCACATAATAACATTTCAGTCTATGACTGGCTGTGTATACAACAGTGGCTCCATGAGATTACAATGAACCAAGCCAAGTGTGGTGGCGCATGCCTGTAATCCCAGTGCATGGGAGGCTGAGGCAGGAGGATCACATGTTCAAACCCAGCCTGGGCAATTTAGCAACTTAGTGAGACCTTGTCTCAAAATGAAAAAAAACTTTTAAAAAGGGCTGAGGGGAAAAAAGGGAGGGGGGCTGAGGATGCACCTTAGTGTGAAGGCCCTGGGTTCAATCCCAAGTATGCAAATAAATAAGTAAATAAGAGTGAAGTCAGCTGTAGCTCCACACACCTGTAATTCCAGCACTTGGGAGGCTGAGGCAGGAGGACTGCTGCAAGTTCAAGACCAACCTTGGCTACACAGTGAGTTCAAGGCCAGCCTGAACTACATGGTGACACCTTGTCTCAAAAAGCCACACACACACACACAAACCTACCCAAAAAAACCCCACAAACAAAAAAAACCAGAGTGAGTTGCATCCAGCTACAGTAGTACACATCTATAATCCCAGGTACTGGGGAGGCTGAGGCAGGAGGATCACTTGAGCTCACAAGTTTTCTTGGTTTTTTGCGGTACCGCGGATTGAACTCAGGACCTTGCGCTTCCAAGGGAAGCGTGGCATCACTGAACTAAATCCCTGGCCCTAGCCCACAAGTTTAAGATAGCCTAGGCAACACAGTGAGATCCCCCCAATTTCTTAACCGAAAACAAAAATAAACCCTATAGTCAAATTCCACTGCTAGTATTGCCAGGGAGAGGTCTTGTTGAGTCCTCGACCTAGAGGTAGAGTGATTAAGGACGAGCTGGTTGAAAATCAGTGGATACTGGTGCCAAGTCAGGTATACCATGTTTCACCACAGCCATTCTCTTGAGAACAAGAACAAAGTGACAGAGCTGTTAAAGGATCTGCTTTGCAGGGTGCAGTGGCACACACTTGCAACTGTAGCACTCGGGAGGCTGAGGCAGGAGGATTGTGAGTTCAAGGCCAGCCTAGGCTACATAGGGAGACCCTGTCTCAAAACAAAAGGATCATCTCTATTGAAGGTAAGGACTCATAAAAATTGGAGAAGGGCTTATGTCAGATATGGGGAACCTTCTAACGACCTGTGCCAAAGACAGAGGACAGAAGCACATCCCTGTATCAGCACCATGACCGTAGCCCAAGCAGAAAGCCTCTTGCCACATGAGAAGGAAACCCTGGACAGAGCAAGGGGTGCAGTTTCCTGCCAGCTCTGGGGGTTAAAGGTTCAGGAGCTGCTGTTTATGACCTCATGAGAGAGGAGTGAGTTGGCAAGGCTCATGTGGGGCAGCTGAGGAATTTCTGGAAACTGCCCGTGCTGACTGCAAGGAATATCGCTTGCCAGGGCAAATCCCACAGGGGCAGCCTGGAAGCCACAGCCGGACACAGTGGCCAGACCAGCTGTGCTGCTAGGTGAGCCGCAGGGCAGGGTGGAGGGCTCTGCAGATGTGGCTCATGGATGTCACTGACCCCACGTTTTTCAAGATGGGTTCTCAGGGTCCACCGGATCTGCAGTCAGATCTGATGTTCCTGCAGCTGCCGCGCCGGCCTGGGTCACTGCATACTCGATTTCATGGGTGTGCGCAACACAGACATCAACTTGCTCTTATGCAAGCTGCTGTTATTCTAGGTTTTCTGTTGCTTGCTGCTAAAACTGATCCTAACTAAAGAGTACTGCATGTTCCAGGTCCTAGCAGGGAAACAGATGGGCAATTTGAAGGGAGTTGGAGAAGGAGCTGTTTATAACGCTGTGGGCCGGGTATAGAGAAAGAGGAAGCTACTACAGGGCCCAGAGCCATGCGGAACTGTGACCTTCAGGTGACAGGTGTGGTGGTGGCCCATGCATGAAGGGGAGCAGGAGGACAGACTCCCTGGTCTAACTGTCCTCCCATCTGACCCTGGTGGGTGGGCCCTGGCTGTGGAAGACCAGGAGCACAGCTCAGCTGCCCAGGACACAGTGGGGGTGAGAGGTTGGATTTGGAGGGATTTTGGTTATGCTTTTTAAAATATTATGTGTTGGGCAGGGATGTAGCTCAGTGGCGCCACACCTGCCTCACAAGCACAAGGTCCTGAGTTCGATCCCAGGTATTGCAAAAAAAAAAAACCCCAAACAAACAAACAAACAAATATTGTGTTGCTGGGCGTGGTGGTGCAGTCCTGTGATCCTAGCACTTGGGAAGCTGAAGCAGGAGGATCACTGCAAGTTCAAGGCCAGCCTGGGCTACATAGTGTATTCAAGGTCAGCCTGAACTGCATAGTGAAAACCTTGTTTCAAAAAAACAAAAATATAAAATAAAATAAAAAACATTTTGCATCCCGTAGGGTAGTACACGATCTTTCTGGTACTGGGGATCAAACTCAGGTCCTTGAGCTTGTGCAGCAGGTGGCGAAACCACTGAGCTAAATCCCCGGCAGTACACGATCTTTCAGGGTATAGTTTTCCAGCTGTACCCTAATGAGGCCAGGGCACAGCCAGCTGGCTGCTTCCGCGACATGGGGCAGGGGATTATTATCTGTACAAGTTCTTGGCTGGAGCGTGTGTGTCGCAGGTGGAGG